CCCCCCCGCCCCCCCCCCCCCCCGTCACATTCTACCCCTTCTCTGTAAAACTTGGGTCTAACTTCATTGGCTTAGATGTGCAATTGGAAACTGAGCGACGTCCAATTTTCAAAGTCCGGAGCAGCTGGTTCTCTTTCTGAAAAGCAATATTAATATCGATATTCCGCAACGTAATTACAGGTGATCATCGCGTTGTAAGAAACTCATTTCCTTTTCATTCATGACAATTTCAATTATTCACGAATTAAATCTCTGTTGCAATGGTTTTACTTTCCTGTCGTGGGTGCGACGCAGGTGAGAGGAGCAATGAGTAACTCATTAATCCGATAATCAGCTCTCTACGTGATTTATATATAATTAATTGATAAAGGTATGCATGTACAGAGTTCTGTGAAATGTTTATTCCTTTCCTCTTGCTCATCGGACGTCTTACGGCCGCGGATGTAAACGAGTTTGGATATTTAATTTATTATCCACAATACTGAAACAATTCAACTAATTGCAATTATATCGCACAGTTTAAGACACATGATCGAAGTACGGGTAATAGAATTGTCAAAGGCAATCCATTTACTTGCGTAGTCGGATGGCAATTTGAGTAAATAAAGAGGATAAGAATGCAGACAATTTGCAGTTGAGTGTGCATACTGTATGTACAATGATGGCCAGTGACAAGGCCTGGTTTATGGTTCTAAGATCAAGTCTTCCAAGATTTAACGACATTAATTAAAAAATTAGAAAATTAAAAAATAAGATTCATTTCAATGAATTATATATTTTTGCTAGGAGTTGGAATACCGCAGGCGAAGAAAAAAGATCTCCTGGTATCAAAAGAATTACTGCATACAAATCTACATCTATGTGTTGTATAGATAAATATTACAGAACACCTAAAATAATGACCGAAATGCAATTTTAGCTGTGACAATTTAATTGCGAGAGAGAGAGGGTAGAGCAAGGAATCCTTGATTTTAGACAACCGACAATCGGAACACAAAAATCAAACAAACAAACAGAAATAAAAAAACGTAGAACAAAAATGCATATCATACAATTTTATGCTATATTTAAAACCACTAGTTAACGGGACTGAATAAACTCAAAGTACAGGTATGTATTTTGATACACTTCGGGACTATAGTTAAGGTATTAAACATGAAATACCATGTAATCTACACTGCTAAAGTATAGTTTCACAACCCGTGTACAAGATCACCTACATGTACTTGTTGTAATACATGCACCTGGCCCGTAGCCAGCAATTTCAAAAGGGGGGTTCTTTTTCTGAAAAAGTGGACCTTTTTCCTTAATAACTTCATGTACCTAGATCAAATTTTACCCAGAGTGGACCTTTTCCCAGCAAAAGGGGCGGTTCTTTCGAACCCCCCGAACCCCCCCTGGCTACGGGCCTGTGCACCTAACTGTATCTGTGCGACTATCCTGACGATCACAAGACTTAGCACTGAAACAAGTAACGAAGTACACGTGCGACATACAACTCTTGCGGAGGGATGAGACGGTCAACTTAGAAAGACAACTCTCCCTCCTTCCCTCTTTTCTGCAGCTGATTCTTGGTGTTTTATACAGGAACAAAACAATGCACCGTATGTTATTGCAGTGATACCATCACTTGTTCCCGTTTGTGGCAGTGCGTAAATAATAGAGTTGTGATGGACCGGTACCGTTATTAAAATATCAAGTGCCTTTCAACTTTGAGTACTAATAATTGATTCGCTATAGGTTACCATAAGTAATACTTACAAAGTTGTGGGTTAACTATGCTGAACCGCAAACGCGTATTACCTGCACATACCTATATGATTCATTTATTTTCTATAAGATTTGGGTGGATTCCGTTTCTCTAGTACAGCTGTGTCGCTTGGTGCAGATTTAAAGGCGATATTTGGGTCAAAGGACAAGCAATTAGGAACCTAAATTTAGAAATTTACACAATGGCCATTAGAGATATATGGGAGAAAGACTCTTCATTTTGAACCAAGCACTATATTTATGTAGGGTTCACCTATCATTTTTCACTGAAAATACCGCTTGCTATCTTACGTGACAAGAAAACATCGTAAAACTAAATATATAATTTATGACTGCAACACTAATATTACTCCACGCAGTTCATTTATGGTGAGAAATAGATCATTAGGTTAAGATGCCTCATTCATGGTCACGTGTCGTTTTTTCACTTTGTGCTTTTTCAAGGGTATGACTTTGGCTAATCCGTGGCAAATTTCTCCATTCGCGTTGGAGAAAAGTGATCATAATTAATCAGCGGTCCTGTTAGATGGTACAGTGTATTATCAGGAGATGTTGCACTCATGTTTGTGTATATTTCATCGGTACATCGACGACTCATCCTTTTCTGTTGCAGCATACACGAAATTATTTCCCTCCAAAGATGCCAATATAATAAGTAAATTACATGCGTATGAAATATGCCACTGTGCAATAAGTAAATTACATGAAATATGTCAATATACTGTGCACAAGTATACTGATAGATGACGTGCCTTCTTAAACAAACGTACAGCCCGCGACTTGAAACAGGCCAACACAGGTGCGTCATGGTTCTGTCCAACTATTCTTTTTTTTTTTTTTTTTTTTTTTTTTTTTTTTGAGGGCCATAACCTCGTCTGGGTCACCATTTGGTGAATACTGGAAGAGAATTGGATAAGCGTCGGCGATGTACAGATAAAAGACAAAAACGTGAGTGCAACATCTCCTGATAATGGGGTTTCCCACTTACCAAAATTATCTATTTCTATTTTTCACATAAGGTTAATTGTATGGTGCAATATCAGTATTGTATATAAAATATATACCTTTAATTGTACGATGTTTTCTTGTCACGTAAGAAAGCAATCAGTATTAACAGTCAAAATAATAGGTGGAGTCTATATAAATATAAATATAGCCAGAGACATATCGGGAAATATCTAGTGAAACATTAATCTGTGGTCCAGGCAGAGGGTATCCCGATCATCGGGTAACGCACTTACCAAAACTATCTATTTCTATTTCTCACCATAAATACACTTAATATGTGTGGAGTAATATTAGTGTTGCGGTCGAAAATTGTATATTTAATTTTACAATGTCTTCTTGTCATGTAAGAGAGAAAGCAGTATTTATAGTGAAAATGATAGACGAACACTACATAAATATAGTGGTGGATTCATGACAAAAAGTCTTTCTCGAAAATATATCAAAGGTCCATTATTAAATGTCTAAATTAATGTTTCTTATTTTTTTAGTTCTTTGATACAAATTACCGAATTCAAATCCTCACCAGGCGACACAGCAAAGTTAACCTGTCACTCTTAAAGTATTGCTTATGATAACCTTTAAAGAATCAATTATTAATACTTTTATTTTAGTTGAAGGGAACTCGATATTTAAGTAACAGTATCGGTCCATCACAGCCCTATTATCTATGCACTGGTACAAACAGGAACAAGTGATGGTATCTTGATGATAACAGATTTAGAGAAAACACAAAGTACATTGTTCCGGTCTTGTATAAAACGCCAAGGAACAGGTGCAGAAGAGGAAAGAGCAAGAATTGTCCAGCTTGATTGATCATCACATCTCGCCGCCAGCAGTATGGGTCGAACGTGTACTTTGTTACTCGCTGCAGTGCTCTGTGTTGTGGTCTTTGGGATAGGAGCGCAAGCACAGACGGGAGGATCATTGGGAAGTAGGTGAAGTGCTTCACAGGCTGGGAAGCTTGACGTTTTTTAAAATTTAGCTATCGAGTTTGCCTGATATTGTATGATTGAATTGATGATTATAGTAGTATGGGATATCAAAAATTAGTGATGCTGTTTTCAGTTCCTTCAATTCAAACGTCATCATTTTCTGATGCAGCATAAACTTGTAATTATATAAGATATACACTTTGTGCACAAAGGGGGTGTTTGTGCTCCAGTGGTTGATAAGCTTTCTCTCTCTCTCTCTCTCTCTCTCTCTCTCTCTCATCAGCAGTTTGAGTCGTAGACAAATATGTCAATTATATATCTCCAATTTAACGTTTAAATAAAACGACATAATTTGATTCATGTGATAATCAATATAGCAAACAATGTACGTCCTACACGTTTTTGTGTGTGATAAACCAATTTGCTAATTTTATTTTGTAAACGTATTAAACATGTATGGTTTGATTTATGCTGATGCTGTAATTCATGATACGAGAATCCACATGTTTTCGGCTATGGCGACCGAATCTCATAACAAAGATAATTCTCTGAAATGAATGCACCTTTTTGACCACCATCCGTGTCATATATCACGGGTCTATATACCACATACTAGTAACGTAACACTTGAACAAATCAAACTTTATTGTCGCCCATTTTTGAAATATTTACCTCAGTTTATTCTTGATCCATTGTGCACGCAGAGCTTGATTTTGTTATTGAGGGAAAAAAATAACTGGACTGAGTTGACAAAAAAAAGAGAAAAAACGTCCATTATGTCAAAACGTTTCAATTTCTTTTTTTTTCAGATCTGATATTTCCTCCCAACCAGTGCACCAACAGCATATGGTGTTGTAAGTAATTTATATATTACATCAACTGTATCTCTCTGTCTAAAGTCTAAAATCTACATGTATAAATCTGACTTTAAAAAGTTTGAGCATGTTGTTTTAGGTTATTCTGTGCTATATGAAGTTAAATGTACCTTATGTTCATACGCAAATACCTAACTTAAAATGGGCATTAACGTTAATGATTTTGATAGCCGAATTAATAAAACCAAGATTTAATATTGCCATTGTATCAATACTGATTCCAAACACCTTTTCAGTTGTTTGCCGTGCCTTTTTTTCGGGGACCTGCAGATCCACCAGTTGCCCGTTTTTTTCTCGACCTATTGCCAATTTTCTGAGTTCTAATAACCAAGTGACATGCAGATGCTGTAGATCCTTCAGCTTTCCCCTGGCGGCTGCTACCACGACTGGATAGGTGAGAACAAAGAGATACTATAATTACAACGTACATGTGTGTACGTACGTGGCCAGCATCTGTGTTCGTTCACGTGCGCGCTCTCGTGTAAACTTAGAGCGTGTGATTCGAACACGGAAGTGATTTGTTAAGTACGACGTGTGTGCGTGTACCTGTATGCGTGAGTGTGTGTTCGTGTAGGCGTGTGTCAAAGTCCATAGACGCTGTATTTGCGCTAGTGGTAGAGTATGTGTGCATGAAATGACAAGGAAGACTCGTTATCCCGCCCTCAGTATGTAGTACTTTACTTGTAATTGGTAATTTTAGTCAGTGTATGTTAGAACTTCAGAATATGCTATTGGAATTTTATATCGGATGTTGTCAAATCGTAAGTCTTTTAAAATCTTAAACAATCTGCGTAGTGCTGATAAGGACGCGCAACGCGGTTATACAGAGTTCTTTATTCCTGTTCGTATACTTATATTAGCATCAGTTTTCATTTTTATTTGTATGAGGTTTATATGTTTGAGTTTTGGCGCAGATAGATACTTTAATGTCATTATACTTGGTTAGTGTAACTTCACTAATCCACATTGATTGAACCAAGTTTCTAAAAATATACATTACCGATTGTATTAACTTTCAGATAAAGAGAAGCAAAGAAATCAACAGGAACAAGATCATGCCTCCAATTTGAAGGTCACGCTTACGTATGGAATAACCGAAACCAAATGCTTCACTAGTTATACTGTTAGACAAAATACTGTATATGCTTCGTTTTGCGATTGTGAGAACAAGAAGATGTACCCATTGCTTCTCTTTTTAGATAATGTATTTGATCATGAATCCAACTGTTATTCATAATACTCGTTTTAGCATATACTGTTCTAAAGAGATGATTATTTTCATTTCGCGTTACAAAGAAAACGTATTTCTTATTTCGTTTCCAAATACGTAAATAGAAAAATTTATGTCAAGTGCCATAAACGTTAAAAGAAGTTGTGTGTTCTGGTAATGTAAAAAATCACTTTAGTAAAAAATATAGAGATATTGTACAATGTATCTACCTTGCTCTCTAAAATGCAATAAAATAAGCAATAAAGCAAATATCCAATAATCAGGATATATCTTTAACATGTACGACTGACCAGATCGAGGGCTGGTATATGTTCATCCTTTTTATCCCCTCACGTTTCAAACATGTCTGATATGCTTCAATGGCCCCCGTTAAGCCACTGTTACATCAGTCCGGTCTTGTCACTGACAATCATAGTGAATACTCACTATGCTTCCTAGCCTACTACCCTGTCTCTCTCACACCGGGCTTGAGACCACTTGAACAAGAGAATTCATTCCATTCAAAGTTGTGGTACTATGCTTTCAAGACACTTCTCAGCCCGATGAAGGCCTTCGCTCATGATGTCAGGGATCTTCATTGATGTGTGTACAAGTAACCACCTTTGGAGCTATAAAAAACATGGGCATGAACGGTCAGGTTACGTGGCTATCACTAAACCAAAAGGATAGGGTAGGCATAGAGCGACTGCCTCGCGGCCAATTAGAATAAGGTAGACGAGCGATCTTCCGATTTTCTCATAATATATTTTGAGAGTGCGTGTTAAAATCGGCGTGTTTCCCCAAGGAAAGCATAAGCCCCAACACACACGAAAGCATAAACCCCAACACGCACGATAGTTTCAATGGGAATAAGCCCTTGGACATTGACAATTGCGCTTCAACAACATTACTTTGATCTGGATACAGGGTGACAGATTCTTTGCTTCATCGAAATTTGAGCTTAAATAAAAGATAAAAACGTCTCAAATACAGTTGCATACAACTTCAAGTGCTTCCAACTTCAGCTACAATTTCCTATTTCCAACTTTTCCTGCAGCACTATTATTTGTTACCCGTGTCTAACATACCTTTTGACAGCTGCTCGTAGAGAAACTACTTTTTTTCGTTATATCACAGGAATTATAATACGACCAGACTCTTAAAGCACTTTCGAAACCAAAACCACACTTTACCTCGCCCATCTTGATTAAATATAAACACAAAATCCCGTAGAATCCCATTGGGTAGCACATGTGTCTTAAAAAACTGACAAATATTTGTTGGATATTTGTTGGCTGTTACATAATGTATCTGTACCCCCTCTGTCCAGAATTTCATACTGTGTCAAGTTGGCGTGTGAAAAATAGAGAAACACAGGGCAAAAAAGTGCTTTGTCATCAATATTTTCAATCCTTGCAAATAAACGATATTGTGATAGAGGTGAAAAAGTTTAAGAAAATCATTGTATCCAGTACTTTAATGGTATTCAAGGTGAATAAGAATTGAGAAAAAGTTCATTGTAATGATTTCCCCCGTTTTCATTCCGCTGACAAGGTCGTGAAGAGAGCTGATTTTCATATAGTTGTATGTCAGGGCCAACTCAGTCCGTGTAGCTGCTGTTTACTTCAAATAAGTATTACAACTTCATATAAAGTCATAATAACTTCGTTTTGGCCAAAAATTGGATTTTCCTGGAAAAAACGACAATTTTCCCGTACTTACCAATGGTCAACGACCCCATTCCTGCATTCAAAGTTAATCCAGGGTTTTTTTTTCCTAAACGTACGGTTTTTTGTTAAAATCTCTTAAGAGATTTTAACTGACGGAGCTCTCTCTGACCTTACAAAGTCACTGGTGACCCACTTAAAACCGCGGGAAAAGCAGACAACAACAAAACTATATAAGATTCATGAGATATATTCGTCTTTTTGTTAAAAATGCATTTATATCCACAATGTGTGCCATTCTGGGCACATTTTCGTTATCCGACGCACTGTACAAAAACTCGCAACTTACGTCTGCGTCCGCATTAATGCGTTTGGCGCCATGTTATTTTGGTCTCGAATGAACGCGACAATCCGCGTGACACCATTACGTCATTAGCAACGAGTGCCTTGACGACTGGGAAGAAAGGCTCGAAAGCCCTATTGACAAGTACAGATTTTAGTTTTACTACAATAACGGCCGTTTTAGTGGTAAAATACAATAGAATATATTTCCATGCGTTGTTTACAATGTATTTCATTCGGAATTTTGAATCTCAAAGGAAGAGTTATTATTGCTTTAACACGAGTAAATAATGAACATTGTTTTTATTTACATCATTTAGCCTGCTGTCAGACGAATCCGCCATTAACATTCATGTACAGCATTTGGTTGCTAATAAGGAGTATAAAAATATTTAACTTCGCATAAACTTCGGGCCTAGATAAAAGTCTGTGTACTGATCCCCGACCGGCTTCAAACTACAGGTATACAGTGCTGCAACGCTGTCTCCGACGCTTATATCACTTATTACATCTGATCACAGTTTCAACGTAAGATCCAGTATAAGATTTAATTTTCTAATTATCTTAGTGTAATATAACTGGATGGATCAAAATTTTACTTTAATACCTGGTAGCTAAGATTTAAATAAAAAAGTAGACATTGGTCATTGTTTTTATGAAAACGATTGTAATAAGGCCAATACTAGTACCAATAAAGTTGTTTACAATGATTTGTCGAGAAGAACCGTCAGTGATAATGGCAACGCCAATACAATACGCAAATTGTAATGAAATATGCTAGTATACACAAATATACTGGTGGATAACGTGCTTAATGAAAGAAACGCACAAAAAAGACCGGAAGAAGGCTTAAACATGTACAACGTTGTTCTATCCTGCATTTTTTTACGGGCATCAATCTAGCCTGGGCCACAATTTCGTGAATACTGGAAGTGGATTTGATAAACGTTGGCGGTGTACTATATAAGACACAAACGAGTGCAATATCTCCTGACCATGGGGTTACGCACTTACCAAAATGATGTATTTCTATTTCTCACTACAAATTAACTGTTTAATGTAATTTTAGTGTTACGTTATAATGTCTATATTCAATTTTACGATGTTTCTTGTCACGTAAGATAGCTAACAGTATTTTCAGTGAAAATGATAGGTGTACCCTACCTAAATATAGTGCATGGTTCATAATGAAGAGTCTTATCTTAAATGTCTATTGTGTAAATTTCTTAATTTACGTTTCTTATTTTTTGTCGTTTGATATAAATGTCGCATTTAAATCGCCACCAAGCGACACGGCATAAGTCGACATAAGTATATTTTAGGAAAAAAATTGATCATATGGGTTCGTTTATAATAAGCATGTTTTCTATATAGAAGAATTTATCAGCCACTTAATAGCATCACTTATGATAACCTATAACAACTCGATACTTACGTAACAGAACCGGTCTGTTACAACTCTATTATTTACACACTGGCAGTGATGGTATCATTTTAATGACAAATTCAGAAAAAAAAAGATAAATTGTTCCATTCCTGTATAAAACACCAGGAATCAACTGTAGAAAAAGAAAAAGAGAGATTTGTACTTCTTTGTCACATCTCACCGCCAGCGTCATGGGTCGTGTGCACCGCCAGCGTCATGGGTCGTGTGCACCGCCAGCGTCATGGGTCGTGTGCGTACTTTGTTATTCGCTGCGTTGCTCTGTCTTGTGGTCGTCGGGATAGACGGACAATTTACAAGTAGGTGATCCTCTACACGGGCCGTGAAACTGTATTTTTTCGCAATGTAGTTTTCATGATACTTCATGTTTAGGATCATAACTATACTACAGTGTTGCATCAAAATACAGACGTGTATTTTGTTTTTTTTTTTCAGTTATGTCAGTATTTTAGATACAGCGAAACATTGTACAATATGCACTAATTGTTCTCCGGGGCTTTTTGTGCCCTAATTGTTGGTTGTCTATAGACTAAAGGGTTCCCCCTCTCTCTCTCTCACCATTATTTTAGCTTGTAGAAAACCATGTACATATAAAAAGTAACATATCTAAATCGTTGGGTTGATCGATATAGCAAATAATCATTGGACATGGCATACAAAATAGGCTTTGAATGGCAAGTCCCCTTCAAAGTGTAAATACCTTTGTTTCTGTGTGTGGTTGCCTAGTTGATATAGAACCATCGGATCAGCGCTGTATCCAATGTGTGCAATTAAATGTTACAGGTAAAATCACAATTAGTTCGTTATTTTAGGTGGACATTCGAATTATTTGGGAGAAAGACTCTTCATTATGAGTCAAGCGCTATATTTATGTAGGGTTCACCTGTCATTTTCACTGAAAATACTACTTGCTATCTTACGCGACAAGTAAACATCGGGAAATTAAATATATAATTTATGACCGCAAAACTAATTTTACTCCAGACAGTTCATTTATGGTGAGAAATAGATCATTTGGCTAAGATGCCTCATTCACGGCCACGTGTAGTTCGTGGCAAATTTCTCCAGTCGCGTTGAATAAAAGTGATCATAATTGGTAGATGGAAAGGTAGATGTTACAATGTGAATATCTAGCGAAAAATTAATCTGTGGCCCAGGCAGAGAGTACGTGTCCTGACCATGGGGTGGCGCACTTACCAAAACTATAAATTTCTTTTCTCACCATAAATGCAGTGTGGAGTAATATTAGTGTTGCGATCGAAAATTATATATTTAATTTTACAATGTCTTCTTGTCACGTAAGATGGCAAGCAGTATTTACATTGAAAATGATAGGTGAACCCTACATAAATATAGTGGTGGATTCATGTCGAAGAGTCTTTCTCGAAAATATACCAAATGTCCATTATTGAAATGTCTAAATCTATGCTTATAATTTTTTTAGTTCTTTGACCCTAATGTCGAATTCAATACGCACCAGGCGACACAGCAGAGTCAACCTGTCACTCTTTAAATATCACTTATGATAACCTTTAAAGAATTCAATTATTAATACTTTTATTTTAGTT